CCAAAGCCCAATTCCACACCACATGCATATGGCATAAACAAATTAGCATACAAGTCGTCCTCACCTCTCTCCATCTCATAAACCTCATTAATCAAAAGATTCCACAAAATGCCTACACATCAATTTCATCACACCGCTATGGATCTCCCCGTAATCCACCCTCCCACGCTCATACCTACCACCAGCTGCCCTCCTCATCCCTGATTCCCAGCACATGAGGAATTGTCAGGGCCTCTGAAGTGATTGTGGCTTTCAGCGCTAATGGAAGCTCCGCACATTCATTATTCAGTCCAGGAAACAGGAGTGCTGCAAAGCGTCGAGGGACCGATGAGTTATGGCTGGGTTGAACTAAGCTCAGTTGAATGGCGAGGGTGGCCTGGTTGTGGTGATAGAAGGCCCGTGCACTTTCTTCGCCTGATATTTTTCAGCACCTCCCATTTGTCCATCTGCGGGGAAGAGGAGCCGGGCACCACACGGGGAAGGCCAGATCCCATCGCAGCTGCCGTGAGCTCAGATGGCTGTTGCGTCTATCGGGAAGAGAGATACAGTGACAGAAAGGGCAAAGATTATGAGACAGGATTTCACTCATGTTTAAGTTTAAAAAGAACGGTAAAAGCTCACATTCGGACATGTATTACTTTTGTGGAAATTTACTATGCAGCTTTTTCTTCCAAAGTCAAATAAACACAGCCTTAAGCTCCGGCACATTGGCTCCATGTTATGCTGATATCCCAGTTGAGCTTTTGTTTTCATATAACTCTCTGTGTGACTCATGCATAGTTATTTCCATGAAAAAATCTATTGCATAACAGATTTGGATCAATTTTGTATTGTAGCAAATTCTAATGACACAATATAATTATGTATATTGTATTATTAGATTTTATAGTATATATTATGTCGATTTTTTTGTCTTTTTATTCATGCCTTATTCAATTTTTACTTATTCCTGCCACTCAAAATGGCAATAAAAAAACAATTCTGATTCTGCATGTGATAATTCCATATTCATAGACAATTTAATTTAGCTGTTGCCATGCCATATCTTGTTTCTCAAAGCAGCATTATCACTCCAGTTTATTTTGATGGCCGAAATATTTATCATGTTTTTTATCATTCAGGGGAGACAAAGGTGGAGGGACAGGATGGCAGGGGGGAGGAAATAAAAAAATAAAAAAAATTAGTTAAATAGTTACTATTTAATCTTGACTTCACATTTGATTAATCAAGGGCAGCCATACCCAAAAAAAAACCCATTTAGGAAAAGTGTTGGATTTATGAGGAATGTAAAAGAGAAGAATGCAACTGGGGCTTTGTGATCAGTGGGAGGGGGGGATTCTGGTTGGGCTACTACTGATGGCGAGAAAACAGATAGGTTTGATATGTGAACATGCCTCTGAAGGAAAGGGATATCTCCTCGTCGAACCATTCAACACAGCCTCTCTGCACTTCCAAAGAGCAACACGAAGCAGACAGAATCCCAGCTATGCATTTAAGCCTTCTTCATTTCCCATGTCTAGACCCAGGGAGTCCCCACTGATATGGGGCTCTAAACAAAGTCACAACCCGACAAGAACAGGGTTGAGTTTTTCTACTGCGACAGAGGCCGGGAAGGTAAAGCTCCGTGGTTAAGTAAACGCCAACACAACCTGATTCCACTGGTTGCATGGGTAAACTCACAACACATGGTTATCTAATGGAAGGCTTAAAAATCCGTACCGTATCCATACCTTTTCAAAGGTATGGAGAAAAAATAACACTTAAACATGTGATGATTAAAGGTCATTCATCAATTGTATTTAATGTTCTTTTTTTATCCATGGGGCACTGCACTGTTGTACAGCTAGTATTTTCCCACAATAATATATTTTTTAAAAGTTCCTCCCTTATGCATAACTATGATGAGTAAGATTTGTTAGATGAAGATAGTTAAACCAATGACTTAGAAGATTTAGATGATTTTTGACCAATCAGGAAGCAGTGGAGATGAGCATTGGTGGGTCTAACCAGTGCTTGTTTTCAAAAAGTTTCAGTCTGTCTTTACACTTTGAAAACTAACTGACATTTCCTTTACGTCTCAAAACTTTACTTACCTTAATGGGATGCACACATAGACTGTAAACATTAACTTCAGCGTTAGCGGGCACTATCCCAATTAATTCAATGAATGCACGCAAAAGTCCACAGCGGCTAGACTAGGCTGGTACAAAAAATATATACTCCCCTCAGCATTGGCACACATCTGGAATGTAGCGTTGGGCGAAGACTTTTGGGCCGTTTTACGGAGGAAAGAAGATGGCTTACAAATGCATTGGTTAGTTCTGTTTACGGCAAGGAGTGAGATTACAAGCATGTTAACGCACATGCTCATGGATCATTTTGAGCCGGGACCCTCCCGCACTAGCCTGGTCGTACCACACCATAGTACTAATTACATTTCGTACTAAGGTCTGGAGGCGCTCCATTGAGCTCCGTTTACAGGTGGGACGGGTTAACTCCTTTTGCAGATTGAAACGATTGGATCTGAGTTTACTGTGACGTATGTAATGCGCCCGAGTCTGTCGTTAGCATTTAGCCTAGCCATCTCCTTTGCAGCTAACGGAGCCCGGGGAGTAGCGCCATCATTTTTCCAGCGATTACATTTGCTAAACATTCCTCTTGCTCCGGCTTCAGTTTCTTGATAGAACCAGACTGGATCAATTTACTATCACATTTTTCGCCATTGCCAAACTACGACCTTCCTGTTCAACGCAAACTCTTGACATCACCCACAACTAACTACAACACCCGCCTTCCGAGCTCTCTGATTGGTCGGTCGAAATTCAACCGATTGTAATCGCTAACCCAGGGACCAGACCCAGACGTTACATGCAGGGAAATGATGATTGAACGGAGTGTACGGATGGCTAAGGCCAGGCTAGCCCGCACTGGATGGGTTTAATTTAGATTAAGATTGATTGGATATGTTTGGATACACATGCACTTTCCAGGACATAATATAAGAAAATTACTCTCAATGAATATATTCTGAGCCATGCACTGTTACAAAACCAAGTTGAGAGATTCCAAAAAATCTGCTCTCAACTCAAAGATGTCCTCCTTTTCCTTTACACTAACAATCTGACATTGGTGAATCAAACATTGGCCATGGAATTGTACAAATGAAAAAAATAGATGAAAACAAACTGAAATGACATCTTCTATACTGAGAGTGTGTGTCCAGTCCAGCTGAAGGCTAAACTGAGGGTAAGGGAATAAACAACATACTCAGCCCTAGGCATCGTAAAGCCTATGATGATGTGTAATCGAGCATCCACGTCTGCTGTTGTCTTTTCAGCTCAAGAAATTAAGCATGAAGGCCTGATGCTATTAAATCCCCCAATGAAGAAACAGAGGGACTCTCGTGGTGTGAATGTTTGTGACCAAAAGTTACAACACGCATCCAAAACACATCAGAAAATGTATCCTCTGTCTTTTCCTTATAGCAAACTAAAACAGTGTTGTGAAGAACAAAGAAACACATCATTAAGAGCAGATATGATGAATATGCATGTGTGATGTGTGCTATTGCTTGTGCATATACTGTGCCAATATAAAAGGCCACTACAGACATCAAATAATAAAAATATACAATTACAATGTTGTCAAACTCCTAAGTGTACCATTACCCTTGAAAGCATCCATCAAACAGCATAGTGCTGACAGTCACTGTTTAAGGAATCAATGTATCTCCCTTGAAACTGTAAACATGGAACACAGACCCAATATCAAGACTGGATATTGCTTAAAACAGTGGTTTTCAAACTTTTTACAGAAAGTACCACCTGATAAGATACAAGGTCCCTTAAAGCTGGAGACCTGATTTTAAAGTTTAGAGGTTTAAATATAAGAATGTAGCCCTTTCAGTCTAGCAGTTTCCTACAGTAGTTCTCAGTGAGAATAAACCCCAAAAAAATGACTAAAATGCAGAATAAAATGACTAAATTAAGCAAATGGACTTCAAGTCAGTAAATCTCACATGCCCATATCACTTCTGCAGCAAAACCAAAATATGGATTAAAAAAACATAACACAAAATTAAATTATTCATCATTCCACCCTGTGCCAAAATCTGTCCATCGGTTTGCGATAGACGGCATGACCAGTTGCAATGAATATGTAAAAGCTATTGATTGTAAGACATTTTTTACAGTAGAGTGCAGGAATCCTTTCATCTACATTTGATATTTAGTAGCTACAAAATATGATATATATAGTTATAGTTGAATTATAGTAATGGTAATGAAGGTAGTACTACTATAATTATAGAAGTTTGTCCCACAATATTTGAACTCAGCTGTGACCCAAAACCATCTTGAAGGTAGCCCCGACGCCTGTATATTAGAGAACCCCATACTCCGCACTCATTCACACATAATTAAAAGAGCGCAGCTCTAGCCCTAATGCTACGCACCAATAACGCTGCTTTTCTCTGGTGCCGCATCCAATTTATCTCTGTCTAATTCTGCCCCACTAACACGCACATCCCTCGGCATAGATTATAATTTATTCAAAATAGTGACATAATTTTGAGGGAAAAAAAAACCCTCCCTCGCCTAGGTATATCAATTATGATAATGGCGCACGCACGCACACACGCACCCCTCCTTCACGCGACCCGCCCACCATCTCGGGACTGGCGTCACGTGACTCTCTGTGAGCCACACTCCTCTCTCTCTCTCTCTCCCTCTCCTCCTCTCCACAGTTCACCCAGCGCCCGGTGCAGACGCAGAGATGAGAGCATATGCGTTCGGGTGCTGATGCTTCCATAGGGATACAATGGACACACTGAAGGAGGACGCTGTCTTTTCTCGATGTGAGCACAAAGGTATTTGATAGAAAACGGCCATGAACTGGTTTGAGAGCATGAGTGATCTACGCGGAGCTGAACGGGACGCTCTCATCCGCTCCACTGTGGGCTGATTCTCGTCAGCCTTGGTGTTTTAATTTACACCTTAACCATGAGGCGCATCTCCGCAAACTTTTTGGCGCTGATGTTCATATGCGCCATCGGGAGCGTGTTCTACGTGTGGAGCGCGTTGGAGAGCCGCTTGGAGCGACATAAGAGGGGATTCACGCTACCGGGGGGAGCTCTCCCTGCGGACCTCTCCTCGAAAACTTTCCGGGCGTTGCTGGCTGTCCCGGTGGCACCAAAGAAAGCTCACTTGGGAAGTCGCAACGTCACGGATCACACGTTAGGAAATAGTCATTACCATTTGAATGGATACAACAAGAGACAAGGGGATCCGGTCAAGTTAGAAGGCTCCCCTCTGGAGGAAGGGGTATTTTGGAGCGAACGGTTAGAGGAGCTGCTTCCAGTGGGTTTCAAAGAAGATGACGCGCGGGACTGGAGGGAGAAAGCTAGAGAATATCACATTGTGAAGCTGGAGCCTGGATGTGGGAGAATCTCCAATCAGCTCGCCACTTTTGAGGACGGTTCCAAAGCGTGTGTGCGTTATGGCATCAACTCAGATCAAGTGCAAGGAGAAACTCTGACGTATTACCTCGCCAGTCTGTTAGGCATCACGAACCTGCCTCCTCTGGTGCTGTCCCAGCTCAGCACGGACAGTGAGCAGTGGCAGAACGTCAGGACACGCGTGGAGGGGCTACAGTGGAGCGAGAGAGCCGTGGTCTCACTCACGCAGTGGGTCTCTAACCTGACCGGAGTGGTAACACCTGCCCCGCTGAGGCAGGAGAGCAGCGGACTTCATCCCAGTCTTAAACAATTGCGTAACCAAAGCGTTGAAGAGCTGCTGGAGCTCATGCAATGGACAGACCTAATTATTTTGGACTATTTGACTGCGAACTTTGACAGGCTAGTGAGTAATCTGTTCAGCCTGCAGTGGGACTCACGCATCATGGAGCGAGACACGAACAACCTGCTCAGAGCGCCTGGTGGGCTCTTGGTCTTTATCGACAATGAGGCAGGGCTGGTGCACGGATACAGAGTGCTGGACATGTGGGAGAAATATCACAAGACCGTGCTGAGTTCTGTGTGCGTCTTCAGGCAGAGGACAGCGCAGCGCGTGGCTGAGCTGCACAGGCGCAGAGACGCCCGCACCAGACTCATGGAAGTCTACCGAGACAGCGAGCCTTTGTCCTTCCACATGGGCTTCCTGTCGGACGAGCACGCTGCACTGCTCCAGGAGAGAATAGACACGTTGCACAAACACATATTGCACTGCAAAGCAAAGTACAAGCAGCTGTGAACAAGGACAAGCAGGTGTTCTGTTGTCTTGGCGCACGAAACACCTGCACATCTGTCTCGCTGCAACTACCTCATGTGAATATTATGTCGACTTTATACACGGTGTTTGTAAGCTTTTTGGATATCCACTTATGCCTGACACTAAAGACTCCTTAGAATATGTGTCTTATTTTAGTCCAAGGGCAACTTAGCTTTTATTTGTTTGAACCTGCCTTGTAGGCCTATTGGTTAATCTTAGCCTTAAGTTATCTCTTGAGAATTGTATTTCTGTTGCTGGCTTTACATTTATTGCACTGTTACTTTATCACAGATAGCTTAAGCACTCTAGCCTGCGTGTCCAGCCTTAAAGCCACATGTGTATGTATATTTTGTAATTAAGTTGTACATATTGTCTTATTTTGTAAATTTGATGCATATTTAATTTATCATGCATTGTAACATTCCACTCCAATTTTGATAAATACAGTAATTTAAGAAGTAAGTTTGTTGTGTGCTTGGTATAAGCCATATAGTGAAAATCATCTTTAATTATTGAACTTTTAACTGGAACTACTAATTTTTGTATCTCCTGACATTCGTTTTAGAGCAATTTCTAATCGAAATAGATTCTTCTTACAAAGGTCAGCACCCGCTACTTTGCCAATATACTGTAGACTCCCTGGCAGGCCAAAGGGAGATGGGGGTATGGTGTATCCAGTTATTGTGATTGAATGTTTCATTGGGTGGAAAAAATCCTATAATTGCTTTATTAGAGTGTGAAATGTTGTAAGAACTATATGGAGGCTTCTGCTTTCATTGTCTCTGAGAATAACTGAGGCTCAGTGTTTCCCCCAAGAGCCATTCTGTCAGCCACAGGCAAGCTCCAACAAGGCTCCCCTAACAATTCCACTCAAAATGATGAAGTAAAGGAGACACACTGGATCATTTGTGTAAAAAGAGCTCTTACCGTTTGCTAACTACTATATCTGAGCGCCAGGAGACGGATGGAAACACAGAGCTACCAAAACAAAGCATGCTCCAAACTGTTATTGTTTCAACGTCACCACATAACCGCAATTAATGAACACCTTGGTCTCAGTGGAGGGTAGTTCACATGTAATAGTATCCCACAGTAGTGTGCAAGGTACATGCACATGTGACTGCCGCCAGCCAGCTTCATTATTTTGACGAATACGCTTTCACTTCAAAGCCTTTTAGCCATACTTTTCTTATTAGTTCCACCGGGCACTTCACTCCATCCTAAGGAAAATTTACAAGCACGTCTGATGGACGTCAATGATAAAACAAATTCTTTACAGGCGTCGAGTTCTTTCTTCATTCAAAACTGGGTGATTTACAACTTCCCTGTCTAGGCTATGGTACTTCTAGAGATCCAAAGCTCAAATGAACAGTTATCCACTGCACTGTTCCTTGGGGATTTCACACATTTTAAGTTTGTATACCCACATTCACATTTAGAAGCTGCAAACCACAGTGGCTAAAATTTGCACAATTATTTTTTGCCACATGATGCAAAGTGCACGGTTCACTAATGTCTGGTCATTCATTGTTCTATATCTTTCAAGATGTGGTGTATTATGGTTGTGAAATCACTACTTTAATATACATTATCAGTATGTAGTCTCAAAATCAATATTCCAAAGACGATTTGAATGTTTTAACCAACCAAATTAGGGATATTCATTTTAAGTTCCTATTTTTTCTGGACATTACATGAGCACAACAGCTGCTATGGTGCAAATATAGATTTCATGAAAGTTGGGCTGTTTGAATCACCCAATTTTAATCTGCGTTGTTGGGTTTTCTCCTGACACCTGCATTGCAACCAGGCTCTTTTTGCCCTGTATTCTCGTTGAACTCGGTGGTTTACCCAGCTAAGCGCCTACTGCAGCTGTAATAGGGGCTTAGGGGATCAATATGCACATTGACGTTTTATAGGGGGCGAGTGGGTATGCTAATGCGTTGGTTGGCCTGTGTTTTACCATGCTGGAGGGCAGTGCTGCAGCTGGCCACGGCGCTCCAGGCACGTCCCAGCACTGCAAAGAAGAGATTTACGACAGCAGGGATTAGACACAAAGCCAAAGTGCGGTCTGCATGTCTAAACCAGACTCTTCCTCCTCCGCTTCCAGGCCACGCACCATTTACTCACCCCCTATGTCTGCAGTTCACCCACAGCTCAGACCCATGCAGCTGACATTTGGTGTCAACTTCATTAAATTACACTGAAAATTACATGAAAAAGCCATTTGCACAGAGGACTGTTCATGATCTATGGTGCAAGAACTGTGGTATACTCACTTTTAGCTTGTAGGCAGCCATCAGGCCACTCCTATAGAAGAAGCAGATGGAGCAACATCCTTTGTTGTTGTTGGCTGCTAATGGGGCCACAGACTTCGAACAACTAACAAGGCATCTCAAACTTTCGGTTGTGTTTCCAGGGAAGGCTGCATTCTATTGTTATTGCAGGCCTGATAAAAACAACTAACAATACTTACATGCCAACCAAAACCCAAATATTTTTTAATACAAAATTGAGAGGGGCTAGATTGTGTTTGAGTCTCCAGGAAACTGCCACTGATATCCAGAATGAGTGTGGTGTGTGCGTGTGCATGGCGGTAGTCGGAGGGGCTGATGGCACATACTGGTTGAATTGCCAGTGTGAGTCAGTGTGCCCCAGGGCAGCTGTGGCTACAATATTAGTTTATCACCACTGTGGTGGGAAAGAGTAATGACATGTGAAGTGTCTTTCAGTGTCTAAAAAAGCGCTATATAAAATGTATGCATTATTATTATCATCCTCAATGTCAGTGGAGTCACTGGAGGAAGAAGGGGCGACTACACCCTGATGGAATTTGTCGTTATACTGAAACTTACAGACAAGCAGAAACACATTTGTAAAACAAAGAGAACACACAGTATGGGTTCAGTTCAAATGAGCACATGAGTGAAAGAACTGAACTAAGATTGGAACATTGTTGAATTGTGGGTGGAACTGTGACTTGCATTCATGTTCTTCCTAAATTAAAATAGAAACAGCTGTTATCTTCATAGAGCGTAAGAGTGCTGATTAAACAGCAATTGAAATTAGTAAATCCGATTACATAAAACTAACCCAATATTTGGACATAAATCCTCTGAAATCACACCATTTAACTTCTGCATGATTCCACTCCTCCACTTTCTTCTCCATGAACAAACACTAAATCAACTACATCTGTGGCCTTTGAGCAGAACATCCGTCTTCTGCCCACCTCCTGTGAAGCCGTTTGTTAATTAAATCCTAAATAAAACGCTCATTTGGCTAATTAGTTGTTTTTGTGGAAATCCAAACATTTTAGCAGGAAGCGGTAATCACTCTAATGGTGGATATCAAAGGTTGCTGAGTCACTCTTTTAACCATTCACATATGTTTCTTCTTCCTGCCGTGCTTCCTTCTCACCCCCACCCAGTCGATGTGCACCCACAGGCTACAAAAGTCTCCACCACTTCTGCCACGCTCTAAAGATTGCAACTTGTGCAATCCCCAGGCGCCGGTGTCACATTATTTTGTAAATCTCATCATACAGAGAAATACCGGTGTTTCTTTCCCGAATGCAGTCGCTGTTTTTTTGTCCGATTCGTTTCCCAGCCGGAGGAGGCCAGAGCAGGTATCCCATCTCTTCTCCGCTCAGTCGGGAATCGTGATAGCAAACATTCCGACGCAGGCGAAAAAGGGAGGATCATCTCCATGGACACCAACTGCACTTTCCGAGTTGAGGAATCTCACAAGTGGAGAAGGCGCCAGCTGTGTACATAAAACCGCTGTCAGAAGCATGAACTTGAGGCCCTGCTATAATTAACGACATGTCCGGACAGGAGACAAAGAATGAGAATTTGTCAGGATTTAATTAGACAGATGGCTTGAAGGGATATAGTCTTACTTTTTATCTGAAATTATGTCTTACAGTTTTATTTATGAATGTGGTTAAAGTGACTGGGCGAATGAAATATGAATTGAAAAGAGAGACAACTGAAGAAAATATAGAGAATGGACGAGATGGATTCAAATAGCTACTAAAAAAGGACTCTATTTGATGTTGCTCTCAAACCGGTCTTATCACTTTGGTCCCAGTCTACATTCCTCAGATTGATCAGATCGATCCTTATGATGCTTTAAATATTATAACTTTTCCTTAGCACTCAAACCAAGAGAATAAACCATAAGCACACGTTTGGCAAATATAGTTAAGTAACATCTTGTTTACTTTGAGCATTTGATTTTCACACATCTGCTGCAGAAGCACAAGCCATGTAATTTCTGCAGCACGTTGAAAGGCACTGTGTTTCCTGCTTTTGGCCACATAAAGAAAGTGTTCTTCTAATAAGACAGATACACTGTCTTTTTATAATAAATAAATAATAATAATGCATCGGTTTTATATAGCGCTTTTTTGGACACTCAAAGACGCTTCACATGTGTCATTATTCATTCACTCCAAACACGGTGGTGATAAACTACTAATGTAGCCACAGCTGCCCTGGGGCACACTGACAGAAGCGAGGCAACCAGTATGTGCCATCGGCCCCTTTTTATACTCTGTCTTAGTAGAAGATCACTTTGAGCCTTATACATAATTAACTTGTAAACATAACAATGACAGATGTGCTGTGAGGGACTGCATGTCAAATAAAAGAAGTAGCATCTAAGCGTCCAAATGCATACACATAATATAAGTATAGTTGTCTCCAATGCGGCTTTTGGCAACTGAGAGGAGATGATGGGAGATGATCAGTTGCCGAAATTGGTCGATGTGCGCGCTCTTACAACTGGAGATAAACAGTCGATCTCCAGTTTCAGTCAGTTGTTCTACTTTTCGGCAACTAGTTGTCCTCAGTTTCGGAGATATGACCCGATGTGCGCGCTCCATGCGCCGCTCCGACAACATGTGTGTATGTTTTGCGAGCCCGCAACAGTTTATGTCAGAAAACACACTGTAGTTGACGGCCAGTTGCTGTCGATGT